TGCTATATTGTTGCTTGGTTAATTATTCGAAGCTGGAAAAACTTTAAAGCTATTGGGGTTGTATAGGTACCATAGGATTCTTATAGTACACAAAAGCCAACAGTGGTTCTCAGAGCCATGGGTATTTTATGCTATATTGTTGCTTGGTTAATTATTCGAAGCTGGAAAAACTTTAAAAACTACTGTCTGATAGGCGGACTCGACGATTCAATTCATGAACTCGACGATTTCATGCTGGAGTCGACGAGTCCATACGCCGACTCGATGAGTTCAGCAGTGTGCTGGCACTGTTTCAGGTTTTTTTTGCCAGAATTGGATTTGGATCATTACCTTAAACTGTTTTGTATCATAAAATCAGTTTTTTCTGATATGGTAGTGATTATCGTCATTCAATTAAAAGATAAATTTTCAAATTATAAATAATTACTAGATTATATGATAAACTAATTATTAGTGTAATTGGATTTGGAATGATCTTACTACTAGAGTTGTATTATGATCAAATTGGTAAAAAATAAAATGGTTATTTCATAAGACAAAATTTGATCTAAATCTTTTTGGAGAGTTTTAAAACTTGTTTTTAAGTTTTGGAATTCTCAAATTTTTTTATGGAGTTACAATACTGGTCATCAAATTTAAAACTCAAAACTTTTTGAAGAATTCCATAAGTTATGGAACTTGAAAAGTCTAATCTTTATAAAACAAATTAAATCCTTAAGTTATGGAGTTCAAAAGATTTTCAAGCATTACAAAACTTGCCCTCAAGTTTTAAAAGTTGAAAAGTTTCAACTAAGAAACATTGAATTCATAGAAACCCTAGGAATTCGTAAAGTTGTAAAAAATGTAACTCATGGGTTCATAACTTATAATTAATTAAATAGTTTTAATTTGATTTAGCATCTTGATGTTTTTTAATAGTTGAATTAACTCTTATGGACTTTATTAACAGTTAATTAAATGTTTAATTAAAAGAGTATTATGAAATCCATAATCTTATGGTTTAAGTTAAATTAAATTATGAGTATAATATACTAAGTGCGTAATAAATTCCCAATCTTAGCTACATAGGAGAAATGTGAATTTGATGCTAACCCATGAAATTGTACTTTGCACCTTGTTAAGTCGTTTGTGGAGCATGTGTGGTTAACTGGCACAATAATTTGGGACTAACAATTTGTGGCAAATGATAGCTTGATGTTAATCATGGATCAATGGAGCGTGTGTGGTTAACCGGCACATTGATTAGGTGATATGTAACATCGAGAGTACCAAGCTAATTTTTATGGTTATTCACACCTTGTTTGTGATCCTCGGCATCCCAATCACAAACTTGAAGGGCATAATCCTGATTAAACATGCCATTGAAAAATTTCAGTGAATCTCAAAGGATCTAAAAATTTCAATTCATTTAAAACCGAAAGTTCGTTTTTGTTTTTTATGGTGGAAATTGGTAAATTGTCATTTGCCTACCTTTAAATAGTTTGCAATTGGATTACGGCATCCCTCTTCCGAATTGTAAATTATTGTGTCGGTTCCTAGCCTTAATATTTCATTTGGGTGTTATATTAAGGACTTAAATCAACTAAACTTGAATTTATTCCTTGTATATGTCATGTTGTGACAACTATGGTCTTCCCAAATCTTTTGAAAAAAAATCTTTCCTTATGAAGATGATGTTCCACGATTTGATCATGAAATTGAAATCATAGTTCACTTCCTCCACCTTCTCCAATAGTTCTCCCTGACCCACATGCTCAAATACTTGAAAAGTTCAAGGTCACTCAAACCCTATTGGCTAGCAAACACCAAGATGGAAGGTCTATGTGTGCACATGTCTTGGAGGTGAAGTCACACATTGACATGCTGGGAATGTTAGAAGTCATTATGTCAAGGAAGTTGGCTATTGACTTGGTTCTTCATTCACTTCCCAAGTCGTAGAGTCTGTTTGTTAAAGACTACCATACGACATACCGCGACGTGACCTTTATTGATCTTACCTGTTTGCTAATTGTTGTTGAATCAATAATGATTTGGCGCACTGGTAAAGTAAACCTGATTGGAAGATATACTTTGCAAACTTACATGCGCAATGACAATGGAAACACTAGAAGTCCCGAAAATATTTCTCTTTCCAAGGGAAAGGGAAAGGCTAAGTCTGAGATTGTCCTATGTACCATTCTAAAAGAGTCAGTTTGCTTCTATTGCCAAGAGAACGGGTATTGATTGTGAAGCTGTCGTATCTACCTAAAGGACGACAAGGATGGTAAAGTCAAAATTTTTGAATCTACTTCAAAATCAAAGAAGAGAAAGGAAGATTAAAGAAAGAATGGGATGAGTCTAAATGCAAAGAAATGGATTTTGATTGCATGATTCTATGATCAAACTTTTCAGCTGTTGCTTAGGAGTATTGATTGATTGCTTAGAAATGTGTTGTAACATAATTTGTAATTGCATTGTAAAGAAAAGTGTTTCTGCAAATTTAGTAAATAATCAATTTTTTTTTATACTTATTTCTATTTCCTTACAATGGAATTTGTGAAAATTGATGTTTGTATTGTTAAGAATATTGGAAAATGGATTTGATTCTTTCATTTGTAGTAGTGTGTAAATCTACCAAATAAGGAAAGATTATCATCAACCAAGCTTCATTTGGACAGAAACTTGAAATCATGCAACTTGTGTTGTGTGATGAATGAGAACCTTCATCTTTGGGAAATTAGGACTAATTCCTTGTCCACATGTATATGTGAGTCAAGTGACGAACTAGAGAATCGGGTATACTTGGTTGTGCGCTGGTCAGGTCCACCACAAAGAATGATAAGATTATTCGTTATTATTTACTAAAATTTTAGTGAACATGGTTATATATAGAAGATTAAGTGTAATTTTGAATCATTGAAAAAGTTTCAGTGTATAGCAGGACGAATAAGAAGAATCAATTAGGCATAAAGTTAAAAGTTTTTTCTAATCTAAAAGTAAAGGACAATACTTTAGTATCGTATTTTATGATCATCTTAATGATTATGAGAACCATATCATAATTGATCCTCTAAGGACATCTTAGTGCATTTGTATGACTAAGAAGAGGAATCATGAATTGTTGAAATGGTTAAATCAAAAGGTGAGTCATACTTTGTTCCAATATTAAGTCTTAGAGTCATACTCTAAGATTTTACATTGGGTGACATCATCTTAAGAAGGTTTATAACACACTCATCAAATGTGAAATCGAAAAGATGTTTTCGTACTCCTACGCATTTGAAATTGGTAAGTTGTGATGTCTTGGATTAGACGGAGACCAAGTAAGACCAATTGTGTGAAGTGTTTTTCATGATAATAATCGGCACTAACTTTTGAATATTTTTTTGTCAACTAATGTTTATTGACAAAGATAATCTTATATGTTAAGAGGTTAGTGGGAGTCTTAAAGATCTTGAAATGTTTCAAGAACTAATCAAGAATAAACCTATTTTAATTACTAGCACATGACTTCAGGTGTGTAACCTATCATGTTGACATATTCTGGTTTTTGTGCCATTTCCAGTTAAGTTGAATACGCATGTGAGTTCTATGAGTTCTAAATTGTTTGCATAACAACGTGGAAGCAATGTTAGGCCCTTATGCCGCCAGGTGGCAAGAAATTAAGATTGAACAAATTCAATCCATATGAGTTTGGATTGGTCACTAACCTTGTCTTGTGATTATGGGTATGAAAAATTCACATGAATACGAACACATACACCATTAATCTAAGTGAAAAAGGTTTCTCTCCATTTCATAAAAACTATTGCAAGGACACGCTTTCACTAAGTAAATTTTAAGGAGATAGCAATTGTGATATTTGCATTCTTAAAATCGATTATGATTATGCATCCCTCTTCATAGTTCGAATTGTGAGAAATGGCAAAAGGTCTAAACATTTGACTTATTGATGTAAGTTCTAAAATTGTTTATACACGTATGTGGGCCATCTAAAGAAATGTGTATAAGTTTTAGAAGCCTAGATAAAGTCTTACTGAAGCATCTTGTATCAAAAATCTGAACTTTGGTATGATAGTCAATAAGTATTGATTTCTAGAATTCCGACTGATTTATGGGTACATGTCAAAGCTAGTGGGAGCATAAGTGCTACGCTAATAAGAATGTAATTATTATGCGAGTGGGAGCACAATTATTACATTAAGGTTTACGTGTTAGAAATGTTAATTATAGAAAACAAAAGTTTCAATTCACAAAGTTGCAGAGGTTGAAAAGTTGGGTTTCTATAATTAAGGGAGAGGAACTCATACTTCATTTTAAATCAAAAGCTTAGATTTAGATTTTACTCAAATTTAGTCAAGGATATATATATATATATAAGACCAATTAAGACCAATTATGGATCAATTTTTTAAACCCCCATCTTCTTATCCCTCGTCTCCACAAACACATCGTCATTGATCCCTTCGCTTCTCAGGTGCTCCAAATTCTCCATTGCTGCTTCTTCTGACATTCCTTACACGGTATTGTTAATGGGTTTAGCTTAATCCTTTATCGGGGTTAGCAACCACCTTTATCTCCTATTAATTTCTTATATATCATTAACCGTCTCTTTCGATTTTCCCCGCCACTCCAATCTCTAGTTTTCATTTTGTTTCCACCTCCTTCCCTCTTTCAATAACTGTTCTTCTTCATCACCTTCTCTTTTTCTTCTTCTGCAAGGGTTTTCGGAATAACTTTCTTTATCCGTAAATCCGGCCTTGAACCATCAATATTCTCGCCTCCATCGTCGCTAGTGAGAATTATCTACTTGGACGCTGAAAAAGAGAGCAACAAAGGGGAAGATGTGGTGGTGTTCTTGCGTCTGATTGATTTTAGCCCCTTCGCGACCACACATAGTTCCCATCAAGAATTATGTTGCGCTCACTGTCTCTTATATCAAATACCTGTTACACCTCCTTCACCAATTCATCGGTTTTATTCCCCGTCGGCTACGGTTCTACTGTATCGATGCTTTCTCGATGTTCCGGTTACTAACACCGGTGATAGAAGAAGACGGTGGATCGGCGGTACCATACCAAGCACCTATACAGGTAAACTCCAACTCTCTCTCGATTTCTGCCTTTTTTTCAGTAAAAACCGGTTAATTTGAGGTCAGTTAGGGTTTTTCCCTTGCTCCTCAGTCCTCGACTCTTCTCAGCAATTTTTGGTGTATGCCCCCCGACTTTGGTGAACTCTCAAGCAAATTAATTGTCTGAGTGTTGAGTGACTGGAAAAGAATACGTTTTGTAGGCTACTAAAATGTGCAACTCTATATATTTGTAAGGTTGATCTTACTCTGATTCTTCATAACCCCTTCCCTAATTCTCATTTCTTTATCATACCTTATTACTACATTCATCATTCTTCTTTTACTAATCTGTGAAACATTTTGTTTTGAACAAGTTCTTTCTGGTGGATTACTTAGACAAGCTACATACACAACAACCAAACTTGGTACATTCAGGTACACCATTAATGGTTCATTAACCAAAAAAACACAAATTTATTGTTTTTGGTTGTTTATGTGACTCTTTAATTACTTGATAGGATTCTGACAAACAAGGCACTTGAAGCCAACGATGGAAAGCCACTACCTTTATATCAAAAATATTTCTGCGGGCTGACAGTTGGTGCTATCGGAGCCTGTGTAGGAAGCCCTGTTGAGCTGGCACTCATCTTTATGCAAGCTGATGCCAGCCCAACGTAGTAACTACACAAACCCATTCCATACCCTCTACAGAATCACTGCAGATGAAGGAGTTTTAGCTCTCTGGAAAGGTGTTGGTCCCACTGTGGTTAGGGCAATGGCATTGAACATGGGCATGCTTGCTTCCTATGGTCAAAGTGTTGAGTTCTTCAAAGACAATCTTGGTTTTCTGAAGCAACTACCATTGTAGGTAAGATCAAATCACAAAACCATAAAACTGTAATAAAACTACTATAACAGAACGGAATGATTTTTTAATGTTGGGAATGATTTTTGGGGCAAGTTCTATATCAAGGTTCTTTGTTGCTGCATGTAGTTTACCCTTTGAATTTGTGAAAAATACAAATACAGAAGGGGCAAGTTCTATATCATGGTTCTTGGTTTTGGTTGGTTTGTTTTTTTTAGTTTCTCCGTTTTATGTTTGGGTTCCAACTTCAAGAACACTGGAAAATCGTTTTATGTTTATGTTTTGATTGGTCTATTTAATTTATGTGAATAGACCCCTTATTCTCCGTTTTATGTTTGGCCAAAGTTGTTCAACAGTGGAACCAGTTCATTGTCATTTCTTGCTTATTTGCTATTTTCATAGACCCCTTATTCTTGTAATTATTATTAGTGAATAAGGTAAAATTGAATTTTGGTATGAAATTATCATTTTTTTTCTTAGGTTATTAATGCGGTGTGAAAACTTGTTGTTTATGCTCATTAGTTATTATTTCACTCTTGTTCTGCATAATCTTAGTAAGTGTTTCTTTTTGACTTAATGGTATTAATCCGGACAGATAAAGAAGGGTGTTTTTTGTTTGACTTATTACACCAGAGCAACTCAAACTCTTAAAGCCATTATATTTGACAAAAACGATGGTGGCTTTCAGAAGCATAACCGACTTTATATACCTCACGCATATGCTTCTTCAGGTAAATAATCACCACTTTTTACATTAACTTTTTTCAGTTCTCATTCCAATATAATATAATTTTTGTGTGTAATATTTCTTTGAAATTCTTGTTTAGTTCATATAAGCATTCATTTCATCAGAATCAAGAGTTGTATGTGTTAGAAACTTGGTTGATCATCCTAGAAAGATTGTGTTACATTATCTTTCTAGATTTTATTTCTTGACTTATTTATCGTATTACCAGTTCCTCAGGTAAGATTCTATTTCAACCATATACATTTCTATTATTTCAACCATATACAATAATAACATTATGCAACTCTATTGGTCAATCTTCTCTACAATCACACATCATCCCATTCTTTACAAGATGAGGTAGCATCAATCATCATGCATCTTGCCACGTCAACCATGTCACAGAATCCCGAAAATACACTTGTTTCTTTATTCCAATCTGATGAAGATATCGATAGCCTTTTTCTTTTATTCCCTGTACTCGCCCTTTTGTGTAAGAACGATTACTTCATGCGATTTACGCCATGTGTCACTCTCCCTTACAGGTGATTACTAAGTACCTAATACAGGTGATTTTTTCGTCATGGCTATAATGATCATAGTTCTTATAGGTGATTTTTTTTCAGGAACATTAACAACCGGTAAACCTGTTGTCACAAAAATACTCACAAAAACACCCCAAGAATATTCTAAAGTACAGTTATGTTCTGATCTTGTAACTTCTGTGTCTAAGTTATAATTGTACAAAGTTTAATATAAACAACTATAATGTTGGCTAAGTTCAACAGAAACATGGTCTGAAAATGATGTTCTGAAGTTAGCTAGTGCTGTTGAATCCAATATAATACATCCAATTGGAAAAGCTATCCGGGAAGCTGCCAAGGCTGCTAAATGTCCCAATGTAATAGTACCTTATAAAAATTACTGTTTTTCCCTTACTGAAATGAAACCACTACTTTTTTGTTTTTATAAATATGAAAGATTGATTTGTTAATGGTATGCAGGCTAATGATCGTACATACATGGAGGAACTTGGTTTTGGTGTAGTAACTTCAATTGGGAAGAAGATAACTTCTGTTGGGATAGTGGAATGGGTTGGAAGGTATAATAAATTGTAATGAGAAAAAAATGAAAATATTATGCTATAAATAATAGGAAGAAATGATGAAATTAGGATATGCTATTTGTCAAAAATACATAAAAAGCACTTATACTTAACCATTGATCAGTTTAGCCAGTTAACTGCCATCTATAGTGATTAAGTTATCATACTTCTTTTTTACCTTTTAAGAAAACCATTTTTATTGGTTACTTGGTTTTGGAAAAGGGAAAAATACATAAAATCATAACATAATTTCAATATTTTATCAATTTAGTTAATAAACTAAAATCATTATATATGATTAGTACGATAATAGTTTGGTGACTAAATCAATAAAACCTAACACTTTGGTGGCTAAATCAATAAAACATAATATTCAGTGGCTAAATCAATTAACTGCTGAAAATATGTTTATCTTTTTGGTGTTTTGGCATGATTATAAAACCAAATAACCCAGAAAACCTTGTTCTAAACAGTCAAAAAGTAAAATGATTTAATCACTACATAAAATAGTCAATTGGGCTAAATGATAATACTAGTTATAATGATAATAATAATGTATCTTCTGAGTATGACTAGAGAGTGGATTAATGTGTTTTTGGTGTAGGTGGTGGAGCTTGATTTTATATATCCAAGTGAGCGGATCCACATAAGATGCGACAATACTTACTATATTACATCAAAAGCTGCAACCGGAGAAGCCAAGGACAAACTGGAGAGGTGAGTTGAAGAGTTGACATGGAGATTAGACTTCGAAAAGCATTTGAGGGTACATTTCTTTATATTTCTTGTATCTAATTAGTTTGTAAATTTTTGTTACAACGTCTATTGATTTGTTTTATCTTTCCATGGAACGATTACTTGTATGACATTAAATTTTATGCAATGGATTTTTTTTATGATATTTTATTTTCTATTATGAGACATTAAATACAAATTTAAATTGAAAATTAGTAAATCTACAAATTTTAAACATTTAAAATTATGATACGCAAAAATGTGTGTCATCTTCATTTATGACATGGCCTTTCTTGACAGGGGCTTTCTTGATACGCATTGCGTGTCATTAACACGCGCGTCGTAAGGTTACGACACGCGAATGCGTGTCGTCTTCCTTTATGACAGGGCCTTCCTTGATACACATTGCGTGTAGTAACCGTGCGTCGTAAATGCGCGTCGTCTCTCTTTATGACAGGGCCTTTCTTGACGCGCAATGAGCGTCGTAAAAGGTTGTTTTTCTAGTAGTGATTCCATGTGCTATAATATTCATGTGTTCTGAATATTCCGAATGGAAAGGGTATTAAGAGGGAAATAGGACTAGAACCAAATATGACTAAAGTACTTCAACAACTGTTTTAGGACAATCCAAGGTTCACTAAGGATTGATCGCTTGAAGCTGGATGAATAGTAATGAATGGACCATATTGACGTTATTATGAATAGACAAGATTCTACTAATAATGAGTTGTCGTATGGAAAATATGGAAATCAGAAATGTTTCCATATTGGAAGTTGGATATTAGGAATCTATGTGGAAGTTAGAAACTTTTATGCAAGAAGGATGTTCAAAGGAATATACTTTGAAATTGAAACTTCACTTCCATGGAATTGTTTGGTAACAATCTCCAAAGGAATACTTTGTAACATCATTGGCAAAGTCTTTGTGACTTTAGTACCATGACATTACAAAAGGTTATATTGCGTGATAGTTTAGAAACTAGCACATTCTAGTAGTGTCAAGAATTTGGTATTCTTACACTTGCAATAAGGATTTGGAATTTTGAAATAAGCATCATTGAAATGTTTTCAATTGACCTATTTCACATAGTAAGGACCATAGATAAATATAGTGTGCATGCTTGGAGCATGGGATAACTATTGTTTTAATTCAAGTATTAAGTTGATAAATTAAAACATTATACAAGAATAATGTGTAATCAATATGGTGATTAAATAAAAGGTGTTTTATTTATATTCAGAATTTTTGAGACCATATTGGATTCAATTATTCTTGTGTTTCACTAGGCATGTTTTGACTTCCCCAATAACAAGATTATGCAAACTATCCACAGTCGATGCCACTTTCAAAGTATGTATTGAGGCAACACTGGCATGAATGGGGCTGTATATTGTTTAAAGGTGTTTAGACATAGCATAAGTTTGTTGTAGTATTCATTAGTATTCCTGTAATAAGATCTGAATATTGGACTAAACCCTCGCTCATTTGAATCGCTTCATGGATATTATCACAAGTGATCATGAGATGAAAATATCTTATATTTTTTAAACCAAGACATGTGAGTTGTATTTTACAATTCGGTTGCACATTGATGATGCGTAAACGCACGGTAACTCAGTGTTATAAAACGTATTGTTGTGTGTGATTTGATGAGTAAGTACAGCAAGCATATGATTCGAATTTTATCCATTCCATTTCCCCAACGTAGGATAAAAACGATATATGTGGGCCCCTCGACGATTTAGTGATGACAACCCTAAGTGCTTGGCCAAGGCTGGACTGATTTGATTTTTTCAATTAGATGGTCACAAGGTTCCCAGAGAAACCAGGGTCTCCACACCCAAATGCCAAGATAATTAACGTTATATCAGGTGGATCTATCATTTCTGGTACTTATTCTTAGGCTAAAACACACACCAAGGTCTTTAACACAGAAAAGGAGGATAGACCATGGAAGAATACCTCGGTATGCATTGAAAAGCAAATCACGTTTGACGAGATGGACAGGGAAGAGATCCATGATCCTCACCATGAAAAACTCATGATAAGAGTGTACATTGCCAACCACTTCGTCAGAAGGATCCGATACAATATTTTACAACTCGGAAGAGGATGTCGTAATCTAATTACAAAATATTTGAAGGTAGGTAAATGACGATTTACCAATTTCCACCATAAAAAATGAAATTGATTATTAAGTATTAACTGGATCGAAATTCCTAGATTCCTTTGAGATTCATTGAACTTTTCAATGGCATGCTTAAATCTCAATTGTGCCCTTCAATTTCGTGATGAGAATGTCGAGGATCACAAAAAAGGTGTCAATAACCATGCAAATGTGCTTGGTACTCTTAATGGTACAAATCACCTAATCAATGTGTCGGTTAACCACACATGCTCCATTGATCTATGATTAACACGAAGCTACCCTTTTCCACCCTTGCAGTCCTAGATTAGTGTGCCGATTAACCACACACGCTCCACTAACGACTTAGCAAGGTGCAAAGTGCAATTTCATGGAATAGAATATTTTCATGTTTTTCCTAAAGTAACTAGGAATTTAATAAAAGTTTAGTTACTTTATAATTATCATTATACTTTTAACAACAATTAATGTCTTATCCTACCTATTCAGCTAATGATTCTCCACCAGTCAGGAACGCGGTGGGTGAGAGTGGAGACCCATTAAACCACCATCTAATAGGCAGTAACATTATACACACTCATAGACCGGCTTTGTGAATGAGGCCTACAAATGGTAAGGCTGACCTTTCTTATATAAATATATATATATATATATATATATATATATATATAATTAAACTTATAATATTATAATATTATAAGGGTTGAATTTTAAACTTTTAAAATTCTAAGGTTTAGAATTAAATGTTTCATTAGTGAGACCTTACAAATTCCAAAACTTGAGGGCAGGGTTTTTAACTCTTCAAAACTTTTGGTTTCCATAACTTATGAAAACTTATGAGTTTTAATGTTCATGAATGCGATTCTTCATATAAATTGAGGACAATTTACAAAACTCATTTCAATAACAATTTTATATCAATTTTAACTAATCAAATAATACAAATAATAACTCTATTATCTTAAAATTTGACAACTATCCTTTAATTGTATGAGGATCATCATTACCAAATCAGGAAATACATTTTTTATGGTTACTAAATAGTTTATGGTAATTATCCTAGTTCAATTCTGGTCAAAAACTCGAAATTCTGCAACCTGAAGCCCCTACTTGATGACTACATGAACTGGACTCGTCGAGTTGCCCTTTTACTGGGTGGACTCGTCGAGTTAGTCAGAGGACTCGGCGAGTTCATCAGTCAGAGGCCAGAATATTTCTTTTTCAGTTTTGAAAAAATACCAAGCATCAAATATAATAGAAAAAAATCCTAGGCTCTGATACCATTGTTGGCTTTTAAGCACTATAACACTCCTATGGTGCACATGCAACCCTAGATGCTTTTGATCTATGTGTTCTCTAATTATACATGCAATTTCATTTTACCAAATCATACATCTGAACTAGCAGAAGATGGAGGATATGCAACATAAAACTCATAATTAGATGAATACCTCTTATGTAGTTTGAAGATATTTGCCTTGAAAGCTCTAGCATCTCAAGTGTGATGCCTCTAATGTGTCTCAAACAATCAAATTGCACTGGTGAAGGAAACCTAAAAGGATCATTCTATTAATGGGTCGAGTATATCCTAGTTATTGTTATGGGGTAATCCAAAATTTTCTTTTTCTCTATTGACCATGGTATTCTTTCGTAGTATGTCCTCCTTTTCTGTTTTGGATACCTTGGTGTGTCTTTTAGCTTGAGAGTAAGAGGTAGCATAGATGTTAGTTCTGCCTGAGGTAATGTTAATGTCACACCCCAAAACCAATAACGGCGGAATACGTTTCGAGGTGGATGACGTAGTGTACGGTATCATCACAATTGCATAATAGTAAAATCAAGAAACATACAACCATTTCATTTACATAGTAAGTGTATTTACAAGTGTGTTTTGTAATGTTCGACAAACACCCAAAAGTAAAAAAAAACAAGAGATGGGTCTTGCATGCTCCATCTTCTCCAAAAATGTTGTAGTTGTACCTGTCTATCTTTGACCTGAAGATACAAGTTATTTTGAAAAGAATATCAGCATAAAGCTGGTGAGTTCATAAGAGTTTAGTGTGAGTTCTTATATAAAAAGCATTAGAATCATTAGTATGAAAGCTGAAGTTTATAGTCATAAGTAGTAGTA